TATATATATATATATATATATATATATATATATATATCTCCATAGGTATTCTTAGAAAAATGATGGTAGGTTGCTATATCTAGAGTTTGCTTGGAAGTGGCACATCAACCCTAAAAAAATAATAGACTGATTATGGATCCATGGAACAATTTGACCAGGATATCAGCTGATACATGGTGTTTTGTGATTAATAACGATTAACATAGCAGCCATTGTATGATAAGTATTCACAACATAACCTAAACTTTTCAAATATGTCCATCAGCCCCGAAATCCTACTTCTGAAAGTATTGTAACAGAGGACCAATCGTTATTATCTTAGTATTTGTGTATATCAAGAAAAAAAAAACTGCTGATTATTTTTTTCTTAATCTTACAGTACAAAGCTACAGTGGTTCATAACCAAATCTGTCAAGTCTTTCTTACCTGATATGCTTTTAATAATCACTACTGAAGATTTTAAAATTTAATTAATAATTAATTCTCTGCCTGTCTCTCGGGAACTGTTCCCATTTTAACAACACTCCTGTGAGGTGGGGTAGCTAAGAGAGTAATTGTCCCAAAGTTACCAATGAGTTTTGAAAGAGGAGGGTGGACTTGAACTTGGTCTCCCTAGTGTCAGTCCATCTCCAAGCCCCTAACATTTTCACCATTCTAATTACACTAGGGCAGCCATTTTTCAAGTGGGAAAGCATTCAATCACTACCACTGTGGCAACCAAAATGCCTATAATGTGATTTCCATTATACCCACAACCCATTGTTTTTCTTACTTCATTCTAAAAGATAAAGGTTTGTCAGTCTTTTCCAACTTTAGGGCACAGTACTCATCTCTGTTTCATCACAGTACTCATCACTGGAGCCAGTGTTGTCCGAAGACAATTTCCATGGTCATGTAGCCAGCATGGCTAGACACCAAAGGCACATGGAATGTTGTTACCTTCCCACCGAGTTGGTACCTATTAATCTACTTTCATTTGCATGCTTTGAACTTTCAACCTGGGGCAAAGTAAAGGGAGCTTATTTATCTCATTGTATTTTGCTTGGGTGTACAACCCGGTCCGGACTGTCAGCTCTCCAGCTGACAAGCTCAACTTCTTTAACCCTGAACCATGGGGCTCCTACTTTCATTCTAAGTGACTAGAATAGCTGCTCTCTAGGGCAACTACTTTAGTTTCAGATAGGGTTGTATTCAGCCTTTTTATTCTTTCCCAATGTGGAAGTTGTCATTATTTATGTGTGCCATTTCAACAATAGTTATTTTAGAATATTGAATTATTGGACTTAGGAATGTTGATTCATGAATTCTGGGAGTTGAGACCACAGGTCATAAAGGGCCATAATTGGCCCCTTGATCTATATCAATATCCTATACTTAATAGTATTATTATGCACCTTATGTATACCAAATGTGTATATTGCCTACATACGTATTCATAGTAACCTTATAGAGCAGATTTTTCACTCCCAAGACTTAAGATCCAACAACTTGTTATATTAATAAAATAATTGTTTGGCTCCTCTCCATTTTGTTGGTAATTTCTTTGGAGATGTTTTCTACCACACCTCTTCTTTAACTTGACATTTTTCCCAGTGTTTAATTTTTCAGAGTATGACTACTAAAAACATACCAAAGTGACAATTTTTCAAAAACAAAATGAACCATTTAATTTATTATGTTGAAAGCCAGTTGGCAGGCTTAGATCTTTTTCTAACTGCCCTGTTGTAGGGCTTCCCACCCCTCTGAGTAGGCAAAAAACTAAATTACCATATTTGCTCTCCCCCTTGTTAATATCTAGTCTGCCTCTGTTGCCTGTTTTCAATCACTGCAGTCCCCTGACTTCCTTCCAAAGTAAGAACTTAACTTAATAACTTAACATAAAATGACTTAACAAATAGTACACACCTTGCGGTTGCTCTTGGATGAAGTCAGAATGTAGGAGAAAGTCTTACCCAACACTGGTTTAGCTAAGGATAACTGAAGTTTCCCTCGGGCTGGGGAAAAAGATAAAAACCATCTCATGACAGAAAAATAAACATTAAAAAATAATTGTTCCAAAGGGCATGCTTGCAAATGAGCAAGTTCCAAAGTTCATAATGTGTAATATTCTGTTTGAAACAGAATATTATTGCCTCAAACCATGCAAGTCTTTTAATATTTAAGTTTATGTTCCACATTAGTGAGTTTTTCCAGAGACCTCCATAGGGTTTAATTCTAACTTCAGCGTCAGAAATGGATCCAAGCTATTTGTTGTCCACACTCCAATTTCAATCATCAGATCTTAAATGACTTCCATTATCAATAAAAATTTCTGGCATATTATACATCTTACTTAAAGGATGACAAGTAAGTTTGTTTTTCTTTGATCTCTGTCTTTCAAATATGCATACACACAAACACACACACACACATCTTACACATGCACATATATACAGTCTGTATAAAGAACAAATACATATGAATACACATCCTAAATACACACATGCACGCGCACGCACACACATGCACACACACACAAATCAATATAAATGGATGAAGTATTGAAATGAAAAGTCACATGATAAGTTAACTAGATTTTTAAAAACATAACAAAATAAGAGCTGCTTGTTTAAGAGTATGTCTCTAGGCTTGCTCGCAAGGAGCAAAACCCCTATGCTTTTGGCATCAATCTTTCCCTCTTCTGAAGCAACAGCAGCTCAGATACCCCTGGGACATGCTTAGGATAAAGAAACATCTGCTAGGTTTCACCAAGCAGGTAATAGTATCAGGCAAGTTATTCCAATTCCTGTTTTAGTTCAAAGAAAATCTTGAGGTGATTTGCTTTTCAAAAACCTCAGTTTATATAAAGTGCCTTGTTCAAAGCTTGTTTTCACTTCAAACCTCTGCCAAGACCTCACCAAGGATTGGCTAAGATCCTGTGACTCTACCAAGCACAGTATAAAGTTACTAAATTTGACTGGTACAACTTTTTTTTTCAGGATCTAAAACAGAACCTCCACCAATCAAATCACAGAATCTCTGTATCACTGTCGCTAGGATCGATGTCTCTAGAGTGCTTGGGTATGCAAGGAATTGTTTGAAAGTGATCTCCTGGTGGTGGGGGAAGCAATTGGACATGCACAGAAAATTAAAAGTCAATGATTTTGGTAGCTTCAGGCCTCTGCTTTGCCCCATATTGTTTCCTGTATCCCTTGCTCAGCATTATTAGGTTATGCAGCTTTTGGTGTTCAGAATGATTTCCCAAAGATCCCCTGCCATTTACTATCTACAACAACGAGGCAACTAAAAAGTTAAAGTTCAGAAATAAACTCACCTTAACTTTGTGGATAGTGATGGAAGTGTCTGGGGGAAAAAATGTCTCTCTGATCCCCCCCCACCAAAGGCTCCGTTTGCTCATGCCATGGCAATTATACACACCCAGAGCCGAACACTTTCCCCCTTTCCCGAATCAGAGGCTTTCCAGATGTGATCAGCACAACTAGAAAGGAAGGGGGGGAGAGAGGGGGGAGGGGGGGAAAGCAACATCTCCACCAAAGAGAATTTCCTGTCCTTTTCTATGCTGGAAAGAATTTTCCAAAGTCACCATATGGGAAAATGTAAGTGAACAGGCTGAAGAATGTGGGAGATAAAATATGAGAGAAATTCGTAGCTGTAATATGAATTCAGTGGCTTGCACACTCCCATTTTTATCAGCAGAAGCTGTGGGAATAATAAGCAAAGTGCAAGAGAGAGCAGCCAATTTATCCTAGGCAGCCTAAAAAGTGAAGAAAATAATTCTTAAAGCTTTGCCTTTTCCTAATAGCATTGCCATTTGAATATTTTCTGATTTCTACTTCTCAAGCTTGATACCCACTGTCACCAATTACTTTGTATATGGATATGCTTTTTGAATGTAAGCAGGGGAATATATCATTTATCCCAATATTTTTTATCATTGCTTCAGGTTTTCCACTCCATTTGATATTCTCCTGAGTGGCAGGTTCATTTATTTCACATGTATGTGGGATATAAACAAAGACCTGTCTTATTCACCCCTTTTTTCAAGCGAGAACTCAATTTCTTCATGGAACTGAGGCAGTTACTGTCATTTCAAACACTTCCAGATGAAGTGCAAGGGAAGAGTGAAACAATTCCTTTAAAACCAGCTTTAAAACAAGACAACAACAAACAAATGTTCTTAGATTGATACCTGTGGGAACTACAGTATGCAAATTCTTACCTCAGATACTAAGCCTGGGATTCTGCAACTGTTCTTTCTGAAATCCACTGTGTTTATTTCACTGTGTTTAAATTTCTGTTATTTCATCTCCATCACCACTTCTGGATTTTGGTTTACTGTCACTGGATTGGAGATACATGATTCCCAAAAGGCAGGAACAAAATGAATGCTTACCTCAAATATATTGACTGTGTTATGCAAAGCTACTCAGTATGGAAGTATCTTGCACTTTTCTATTCTGTATGTCTACAGGCTAGAATCCATGATCATACATGCAACATAGATTTCAGAAAGCAGAATAAATGGGATAAATTTCATCAAAATATGAAACCTTAACCAGTAGCCTTTTTCCAGCACCTAAGATCCCCAAACACACACTTTATTTCTCAGGTTATTATTTGTTTCTGTGTTCATTGCTGGTAGTTCCAAAAAACCTGTGTTGTTATAACTTATTTCAGCCCACCAGGCATTCAAAGTGTGTATTGTCCCAAAGGTGCTTTTTCAAAAGGCAACTAGACATTGTTTTTCAAAAACAAAGTCCAGTTGCCTTTTGAAAAAAACACCTTTGGGACATCCATGATCTGGATGCTTGAGAATCTCCATAAACAAAGTTACTGTATTTTCAAAAGCAACTTATGGAAAAGAAAGAGAAAAAAAGCATTTTTAGGCATTATTTTAGAACAAAGGGAACTTGAAAGCTTACACACCCCTTTTGTCTATTGAAACTAGTCATAATATGGATGTTATCCAATGATGGGTTTTGGGTTTTTTCCAATGAATCAACAAAGCTATCAGGTTTTTTTTTTTAATCACCTTAAAATTCTATTTTGAATTTAAATTTGAGAATGACAGGAAAAATGGGCTGACTTGTACCACACAAAATATGTTGTCAGTCTTTTTACATGGCAACTTCCAGATAGGATGCTAGCTGGGAATTATGAGAGCTGAAATCACATACTTCTAAAAAACTTGAGCACAGTGGCTTGGAGTGTGTGTGAAAAGATAAGGGAAGAATAACAAGATGAACCTGAGTTTTATTTTGCTATCTTTGAGGAACCATAGAAAAAAGAAAAGGAGACAGTGAGGAAGTCTTAAGATTATCTTAAATTATGGGGGGAAATTAGATCTGTCAATTGATATCTGCCATCCACTCATTTGCTGAGATGCCTGTTGTATATAGAACTCAATCAAACAAATAAATAATAAAAATCTCAAAGACCTGATGGTGTGAGAGAAAGAGCTTTTCTGTGCAAGAAGTTTGATCCTGTGATCTCACACTGTCCCTGTACATGGGACAACCATGACCTGGATGATTGAGAATCTCCACAGAAAAAAATAGTCCCTTGAAAACACCAATTGCTAAAGTGGTGTCATGAGAGTACATAAGATCTTGCATTTTACCCCGGGTGAACATTCTGGATGGTCTTCAAAGAAAGCCTATGATGATGAGTGCAGCTTCTCCTTGTGTAAGTCTGGTTTTAGAGTGTAGAAAGCTTATTTCTAGAGTTGCTATTTGTCTTCTGACAAAGATGAGTGGGTCACTCTCAGAATCTCAGAATTGTACATTGCCCTGTCAGGCGTCTCATGGTCTACCAGAAAGTTATGTCCTAAACCTAGACTTTGAAACTATATATATATATATATATATATATATA